GAGGCAAAGGAACCTGATTGTGTCACATATTATCTGTCTCACCTACTACTGTCCGATATATAGTGACAATTTCAGCAAATATGACAAAAACATGTTTTTATAAAACTGCAGCCTTAAGTCCAAGCTGGGCCAGCATGGCTCCTATCCCGGCTCTCTTCCTTTCCTACTGGAGCGATCACAGCGCCCACCATGACGCCTAGTCTGGCCAGTCTGGTTGGGTGGATTGTCTCAAGGTCTGCTGCTCTTTTATCCAAACCCCATGCTTCCTTTTCCAGTGACTGTATATTTCTGTCATAGGTAAGCAATAAAGCAGAAAGCAGCAAAGTTTGAAGGAGCTACCGACTGAAGCATTGCACAACCATTGCCATGGTCAAAATCACCTGATCCAGTCCATTTGAACAATTTTGGCCTATCCCTTTAAAATCAAGTCCAATCAAACATCATTTAATAATTTTGTAGCAACAAAGCCGAAAACATAACAGACTGAAACAAAAATGTAGTAAGTTGGAAGGAGCTATCGCCGCTGCATCTACATGTGCAGCTGTTGCCATAGCAACAATATACCAATAATATGTCAGAACATGAATGCAGAGACTCTGACACACCTGCACTTCACCATCACCATATGCCTTAGTTTTTTCTTGTCTTTGTGACTTTCTTTGTTCCATCACGTTCTTTGTCATTTTCTTTGTTCCATAAATATGACACTCATCCCTGAAAAATGAATAAAGTGGCATCATTTAGGAACCTTGCAAATTATACTCAATTTCTGCTCACCGTCGACTGAGTCCCCCAGGTTTTATATGACCAGCCTCGTCAGCTAAATCATCCTCTCGCTAACACAGCCTGCCATCAACCGTATCCTGATGGCACATTCACAGACTATAGATTAATTCACTTTCTCATATAACAATGTTTAATTACACAGCCTTCAGAGCAGCACCATCACAGGCGGAGATTTATGTGTGTTTGTCTGCAGATATGAAGTCTATATAACAGTACGCTGTCGTATTCATCATCCCAATAGATGAAACTGGGTTTAATTCCTCCCTCTGTTGGGATGTAATTACAGAGGTTTACTGAGATGGAGAAAAATTCTGACAGAAATACACACACATGCACGTACTACACGCGCACACACAGTCACATCAGACATTCCCACAGATGAGAATTTTGCTCTCTGTTGTGCTGTATTCGTGCACCTTTTTATGCCAAAAATGAGTGCCCAAAAAAAGTCTCTTACGCATTCCCATAGGAATACATTTTCGTAACTGTGATTCAGAAAACTGAGATTTGTATCTGGCTAATCCTATTTACATCACTGCAAGTCTTTCTTTTGGACTATTTTGGGCACAAGTGTCAGATTAGAGCAAATAAACAGCTAACATAGATGGAAATAGTTCTGTAAGTCTCCTACAAGCACTTCTGGAAGAAATGATTATACCAGTTATTAATTCTCTGACTGATGCCAATCTTTAATGGCCATCTGAACCCTTAGTTGTGTTTGAGTGCACTCTCCTGCAGCTCCAGCTTTTTCCTTAGGCTTGGCTAATTGGTGTAAGTGTTGCCATTGATTGTAGATGAGAGGCCGCTGTTTATATCTAGACACAAAGGAGAAGCTGGTCCACTGTAATTGTCTGGGCCAAAGAGGAAAGAGAGCAAAGGCTGAGAGCTGGTGGAGAAAGAAGAGGATGTATTTTGTATTAGTTATTGTATGTCTGAGAATGTGCTCTCTCTCTCTCTCTCTCTCTCTCTCTCTCTCTCTGTGCATATCTGTGTGTGTGTGTGTGTGTGTGTGAGGTTGTGTGAATGGGTCAGCAGGAAAGTGAGTGAATAGATAGTCATGCTGTACTTCTGACGTATTGTCAAGTGACTAGCTACACCCCTCACATATTCCACCACCACCACCACCGAACTGTCATAGCTATCAGTTACATTTTTTATGCCTATCAATCACTGTTTCTCCCCATGCCAATCACTCCACATCTGTCTCTCGATGTCTGTCAATCTGTCACTGTTTTTCTCTCTCTTACTTTTACAATGGTTTCTCTTTCCCCGTAAATCCTACGTTGGGTTACTGTCTGTCGCTATAATGTCTCATCTCAGTCCTATAAACACAGACATGAGCAAACAAGCACACGGGTGGTTAATAGTCTGCCACTGTTTCAGCAAGAGTCTGTCATCACATTGTTAAAATTGCATGAACTGTAGAGTTTCCACTGAAAGCTGTTTGAAAAAATGATCATCATCATTCAGTATATCTCTAAAATATGACCAACTTGTTCAATTGTGTTACACAGAGTTAAAAAAGAGTTATATTTTTTTTAAATGATGGAACCATTATGCCCTTGTTCTCGGTTGGTAGTAGAAGGAGCATAATAACACATACATAACATGTAGGTGCAATGCACTGGGAAACCAGCAGTGATTAAAAAAAAGTCTTCATATTAACTCCAAACCACAAGGGTCTTTAAATGGATGTTTCACTCCCAGTTGGATCTTTATCGGGTCAAAATGTTAAATATGGTTAACACACCCATTTATACCAGCAGGCTGATTAACTCTATGATGACAGGTGTACCATCACAACTGTAACGCAAACACATGAGGCCCAATGTATAAGGCAAACAATGAAAAAAATCAGCAAAAATACATCACGACAGTATATCATATCTCTACTCATATGCATCATTTCTCTCTACTGGTAAGGTAAAAATATCCTAAAAATCAAAAGCACCATGTTGGTAACCAACATCAGGTCAAGGCTGAGGTGATGAATGCTAGCTTCCATGCTAACATGGATGTGTGGGCTCCATCAAGAAGTTGATTAGTCTAGAGTGCGTGGCCATGAGTTAACAGGTGGATGCTGATGTATGTGGCACACAACATCTCCCCACTGGAGACAAAAGACAAGACCATCATCTTCATCCATGCTGGGCAGTATGGAGTCGTTGTCCAATTTTGGAGAGTTGTGCATGAAAGGGCCAAAGGGCAGCAGTCGGGAGACTCATTACATCCATGGGTGCTCATGAAGTTCCATGTGAGGTGAGTGTGAAAATAGTTTGACCACTGTTGAGGCAAGGGAGTTGTTGTAGTCCAGTGGGCTCTAGATGCTGTGCACTCAGTAGCAACCAAACTGAGCAGGAGAAGCTAGAACCATTTCTTGAAAATAGCTACGTTGCATCCACTCTCTAAAAAATAAGTGGATGAGGAATAGGGTGATCACTAAACTGTAAAAGGGGCAGGCCCCATAGGGTTGAATAGGCTTACCTTGATTGTTTAAACATTTATATGCAAAATTTCAGTGCACTCATGTTCAAAGATAAACAGCTATTCCTGTGGAGCCCTGTGAGAGGGCAAAGCCTGTGTGAATGGAACTCTTCATCTGCTAATTATTTGTGATTGCTGCCAAAAGTGATTGGCTTGTATACATGTGTCAAAGTGGGCACATACACACACATAAGCACAGGGAGCTGGAAAGAGAATGTTGGCTGATGGTGGCTCTTTGTGAACAGCAGAGTCTGGTGGATGTGAGAAAGAGAAGGATTTTTATTTATTTCCTGCTTTGTTTGGAGGGATGTGTGTGTGTGTGTGT